ACCATTCTTTGACTAAGAATGGAACGGAACAGGACAGAACAGAACAAGAATGGAACGATTGGAAAAAAGGGACCAGAATGGAACGAACGTGCCCATTACCAGACTGACTTTCAAGCAACTAGATCAAGTTGTACAGTATTATACATACATACATAAACATACTGTGAACCCAACCAAGGGCTCTCCATGTTGTAGATAGAACCATATAGTTCGTTACTCCCAAGCGGAGAAATAAAGCCAAACAAGCCAATCCAAGAATAGAGCCAAACAATCTAAACCCAAAGCAAAGAAGATATTAAACCATTAGTATGGGTGCGGCTTGAGTATATAACAGGCTAGACCTGCAAGGGTATTGAACCCTTTCAAGATGGTATGGTTTAAAGGGCGGAGATAGGGGAGGATCAATGCTGGAGAAAGGAAAGAAACACCATTTATCTAGCCCGTTAAGAAAACAGTTTCGTCGGCCATCTTATGCCCCAAGAGCTGATCAGACTAGTCGAATTTAAATATACTCGCCTCAAGCGAATGTCGTGTGTATTTAGATCAACTTTAATTGGTCCAACGATAATTTTTTTAAACGTTATAATGTAAATATAGTTTGTGTGCAACCATGCTTCGTTATTCCACTCAATCTTGGCTTTTTTATTATGAGTTCTTTTTAGTCTATAATACAGACTATAGACGGCAGAATAAGACAAAAGGATTTTAGTGAAATTGATCTCTTTACAAAACTAGAAAAATATTTAAAATATGCGTAACTCTATCTCTCTCTTTTTATTGATTCCCACCTTTGTATCAGATATCTGGGAGGAATGTAAACAAAGCTTTACCTGACCAGCAGTACGTTTGTTTAAATTCCTTTCCCGAACGAAACCATAGCACACATTTTTTAAAATATAATTATGTGGGTTTTTTAAAAGATTTTGGGGGCATTTTGGGTTCAGCTAAGATGAGAGGTTAGTTTCTAGCTCAATTAATTATATTTTTAAGAATGGATCAAAAAACCTTGCGTGGCAACTCTTATTTTGTCAATAGTTATATAGTTAATATTTTTTTCTGGAAAAAATTAAAAGAGGAAGTAAAGGAATTTAAATTTGCGAATCCCATTATCATTGCAACATAGTGGTGCAAACCTTTGATATTTAGAACTTTGATTTTTTATCTTACAGAAATTATATTTTGAAATATATAAGGTCTACAACATTGGGTTTCAAAGATATAGAGATTAGTAAATCAGAGTTTGTGACAAAGACGCAATTTCTGCCCCCCCCCCCCCATCCTGCCCGGCAGTTTTGGGTGGATAACGTATCAGACCAAAATATCTGATTGAATTCTTTCTGCACAAAATCTTGGAAGACTTGATCACGAATTCAGTGCGTGCAGGAGATCGAGCTTACACCTTTTAAATTTCATGAATACTTACTTTCTATTATTATAAAGCTAATATATTTTGTATACATCGTATAAGAAATATTTACAGAATATATTAAACCGTAAATAATAATAATAATAATAATAATAATAATAATAATGTATAAAACAATTATATGAGCGTTACAACATCTATGAATTTCAATTATTTGTTTAGACCTTTCAAGTGACCCTCCATGCAAAAATGGGAATGCCCGATTTACAATGGTACCCTATAAATAATAAACATGATCTCTGCGTGTTTTTTGTCTAAAAATGTTTTTTAATTGCCGTGAACTGGAGTTTAACTCAATATTCTACCACGCACCTCTCTCACCCTTTAGTAAAAATCCTAGTCCTATTGAGTGTCTGCTTAATTTACCCAATGTCCGGGCGATACAGTATAAACTGGGACCGGAAAGGTTGACCCGGCTCTGAAATTCAAATGTACTACGGCTGCCCGTGCTACATATGTAATGCAGTATTTAAAACCTCGCCTGTAAATATTTAATTTCTGCGACTTTTGTAAAGAAAATACCAATATTTCTTCTATATAACTCCTGGCAAAAAGTTCAACAATTTCAATCTTTTCTTTAGATAAATAAGGATAAGGCCGTCAATCGTCATCCTTGAATTTCAAAGGTTTGGACTGTTTTGAATCGAATAAGCCATAAACAAACGGAGGGTCACTTTGAATTACGCCTACAGTCCCTTTAAATAAAGAATGGAAAATTTTAAACAATCAAATCATACGATAGATATATCCGGCAACAACTGTTACGGTGTAGAAGTATTTTCTTTTGCATGATTTTAGTTCATGATTCAAGGTTATCATGAAGACCACCTTTTCAAGAGGCCTGATTATACAGAAAATATCCCGCCAAAAGAAAATTTTATTCGTTCTGAAAACGAAGTCTATTAAATGTTTTTAATTATTTCAGAAATATCAAACAAAAACAATGCCTCCATGCATGGTAAGTCAAAAAAATATTTATACATTTGCGCGCCATACCACGTTGAACTAAAATAAAATTTAAATATTTTCTGTTTTTTATCATAACTCCTCTATTAAAAGAGCTATTTAGAATGTTCTGAATTTATAAAATATAACCGAATAAATTTGCTTTTCTTACACTTCCTACAGAGGAAAAATATTGCTTAAATTTCAGTCCAAGTAGTAAGACAAAACTTAGTATTCCTCAGATATCTAAATACTTTGATGATTTTTGCTATAGCGCATGACATATAGAATTGGCTCTAAATTTGACAAAGAACATTTTTTAAAAACGCATTTTTAATGGCAACAATGAATTAAATAACCAGCTCTAATAAAACCTGTATGTATCTAGCTAAAAAGATTTTTTTGCCACTGCAGGCTACAATTGGACTGAAATTTGCGATTTTTACCCTTGCAAATATTTGAACAAAAACAGTAAAAAAAGGGTAGCAGAGCTTTTTTTCAATTTTTGGTTTAAAAGTATACCCTTTCTAAAAGACTTTTCATCAAAGGCCGGATAAATTTTCACATTTTACTCCAAAACCATGTAGGAACAATTCCAAAACCTTGAGCGCAACCACCCCTCCCCCCTCTCACAAACTCACTTATAGTTTTTGTATCACTTTTGTCGTTAGCTTTAGTTCTAAGAAGTAATGTAATTCAACAAATTCTCATAAATTTTTGCTTGAGAGCTTGCAAGCTGTGGATCACTATGACACGCCATACTTACACATTAAGTATCTTAAAATTCAATTACAGTGCGTCATGTACGTGTATGGCTTACATATTGTACAGTACAATGTATTTATTGTACAATTTTGTACATCTTTTTATGTAACACATGTCTGTACCAATTTTTCTAAGCTTGTTTTACGAAAGTAAAAAATTTCTAAAGGAATTGAATCTTTGTAAAAAAATCAAATATTTATACACCGATATATTTAGAACCCGTTGTTGATATTTCAAACTCTTATTATTTGATTTAACAGAATTCATAGCTTGAAATATCTAAGGTTTGCAACATTTGGTTCCAAAAATATAGGGATTAGAAAATCAGATTTTGTGGCAAAGACTCAATTCCTTTGAAGAGAATAAAAATATTGTATATTTTTTCAGAAGCTTTCTCTTTGATGGAGAAAGCCTGTAGAAAGCTATGAACCAACAATATATATTTCTTTAGCAGTTCTACAGTGTATTGCATGAGGCATGGAGAGGATAGGAGGATAGGAGGGGTGAGGGGGGGGGCATTTCATATTTCTAATAGATAAAATAGCAATTTTTGTTATATAAATTTTATTTCAAATCATTTAAAAAGCAGCAGCTGAACCATGCATCTATCAATTTTCGTCTTTAACATTATTAAGTGAATTCTTTTTTAAAGTGTACATTACATCTATAAAAATAAGAATTTTTTAAAGTGTACATTACATCTATAAAAATAAGAATTTTTTAAAGTGTACATTACATCTATAAAAATAAGAACTTTTTAAAGTGTGCATTACATCTATAAAAATAAGAACTTTTTAAAGTGTACATTACATCTATAAAAATAAGAACTTTTTAAAGTGTACATTACATCTATAAAAATAAGAACTTTTTAAAGTGTACATTACATCTATAAAAATAAGAATTGCACTAACAATAAAAAAACCATAACAAACAAATAAATTCAATTCAGAACCTGGATTCTCAAGTACGGTTAAAGTTACACTGACATCCTATCTTAAAGTCGTCTAATGTCAAAAAATATGTTTCAGCTAAATTAATAAATATTGTTTGTTGTTTGTGAAAGTCATTCATTAAGTTCTTATATGAAGTCAACAACAAAAAAATTCACAGAAAAATATTGTAATACTCAAAATATATAGATTTCATGATTTGACATCAAGTTTAAGAATGAAATATGTCAGAAACATGAAATAGAATTATTACTTGTTGATGAAGTCTATAATTGAATTTTGTCTGATAAACACTTGTGGTTTTATATGATTCGTGACATGTCAGTACAATTTCTTCTTATGTGAGAATAGATTGAATTATGTTATCCATTTAAAAAAAATATTAAAAACCAATCCACACTCTAAAGAAATTTTCCCAGTAACTCAAATTTTTTAATTCCATATCTTTGCAACATGGCGTAAACATTTGATATTTCAAACTTATATCTTAGATTTAACAAAGTATACAGTTTGTGCTAAGAATTCAATTCCTTTATAAAGAAAACAGTTAATAAAAACTCCTCTTAGTACAAAGGATTTTTAAATTTTTGTTTTCCATTTTGATGGATATCTCAAAATATATTATATAAATTTTGAAAAACGTTTTTTATTTATATATAAAGGAATTGAGTCTTTGCAACAAAATCTTATTTTCTAATTTGTTTATCTTCTCAACTAATTGTTGTAGACCTTAGATATTTCAAACTATACATTCTGTTAGATCAAATAGTCTAAGTTTGAAATATCAAAGGGTTGCGCTATTAGTTTGAACAGATATAAAGGTTTAAAAATTTGAGTTTGTGGAAAAGACTCAATTCCTTTGTCTATATATAAATTTGGCTTGTCTGTCTGTTTGTTTGTTTTGGTGTCTGTCTGTTTGTTTGTATCCAATAAACGTCAAAACGGCTGAACCGATCGGGCCAAAATTTTTTGTGGGACATTTAGGGACCCCAGGGAAGGTTTATGAATGATTGAAATTTTAAATATTTGTCTCCATCAAAATTCGATCTTCAATAAATTTTTGAAAATTTTGAAAATCCACGAAATTTTTTGTGAAAATCCGCGAATTATTTTTGTTTTGTTTTACAATATACGCAAAGAGAACATGTTCACAATTAATTTGGAAGATGGACGCGAAGCGCCCTCTAAGGCTAGTATATTAAATATCTTCAACAGTTATAAAGATAAAAAACGGAAGATCCTTTTTCAAGAAGATTTGAAAAAGACCTATACAATGCACAAAACTTTTTATATACAAGCCATTTTTCATTACTGTTGTTATCAAACTATTAACTCTTAATTCCCATTTTTATTGAGCTCATCTAGTATCTTTGCAGTGACGCAACTAGGGGGGTGGGGGGTATTTTGAACCCCTTTCGCACACCCCTCGTAAAAGTGCTTATTGCGCCTCTGAGTACCACAACATACCATAATGTTCTCTTGCTTTAGCTTGCTCGATTTTTTTAGGCAACCCGTGGCCGTACACGGCTAAATATATTTATTTGAATATTTGAAATTCTAAAATTCTAAATTAAAATCATTATTTAATACCAAGTGCTGGTAAACGGTGGGAGTAACTATATCTATGAATAATAATTTAAATCTTGGCCACTCCTGTATACCGAGTCCATTAGCGCCTGATTTAATCAGGGTTCTGTCATGTGTTTGTTGTCTATATTCTGAATCTGAACCAATAGAAATTGTATGGCGGTAACATCTATCTTTCCATATATCTCATTATCCAATTAGAGTTATGAATCCTTCAATCGTCGATATCAGTAAATTGAAATATTTACTTCTACTGAAACTATATTGATGGCAACACACTATTGCTAGTTATTATATAAATATTGTTGTCCAGGGAAGTGAAGAAATAAAGATGGCTGGGACAGGGAAAACTATTCTAGTGACTGGAGGAGCAGGGTTAGTAGAATATTAACATTATAAACTTTAAAGGGATTCTTCATCTATGCTTTGTCTACAGAAGTCCATTTACTGGTTCTAAATTTTATAGAAAACAGCAAATATTTTTTCTCTTGCTTTGGTCATAAGTTTGGACAACAATTTACTCATTGTTCATTTAATAATCAACAAAAAATTTCAAATATCAAGATCACTTTACTCAAAAATAAAAAAATTTTGAATTATGATTCATTTAAATGTTGATGTTGATGATAATGTTGATGTTGATGTTGATGTTGATGTTGCTAATCTCTGTAATGTTGTAGATATGTTGGATCACATACAGTAATAGAACTGTTAAAGGAGGAGTACAATGTTATTGTTGTTGACAACTTTGTAAACAGTATAAAAGGTATATTCCATGCAGTACATTAGCACAAAAATTTTAAAATCTGATGTCTATAATTACAAAAATATTTAAACAATTATCTGTTTTTAGTGCAATCTGGAAAGGGTACGTACATATTTGTTGAAATATGTAAATAAAACTGTGTAAATATGTTTAACGTGTTTTAGGGTTACCCACAAAGAATGAGACTTCAGAGACGATTATACAAATTTTATACTGTCTGTTTAAACGTGTCCTTACATCTATGACTTCCTGCAACTGAAAACGTTTTCCTTTCCTTCTCAAAACCAGCCAAAAATATACCACATTCAAGGCAGACTTCCTTTAAACTTGGGATCCCCATATTTGAAGACTTTCAAATAGTGTTTGCAGTCTCCTCCTTTCTGATAACCCTGTATTTTTACCATACCTACTATCTGATGTATTTTTACGGTGTATTTTACAATACCCACTATCTGATGTATTTTTACGGTGTATTTTTACAATACCCACTATCTGATGTATATATTTACGTTGTATTTTTACAGTACCCTCTATCTGATGTATATTAACGGTGTATTTTTACAATACCCATTATCTGATGTATATTTACGGTGTATTTTTACAATACCCACTATCTGATGTATATTTACGGTGTATTTTACAATACCCACTATCTGATGTATATTTACGGTATATTTTTACAATACCCACTATCTGATGTATATTTACGGACACGGAGATCTAATATTTGTCGGTGCTTTAAAGGGACTGTCAACATAATTTTAAGTGCGCATTCAATTAATACGTTACATAACAGATCCTACCCTTGAAACCTTTATCTGGGAAACTTTGAGATTATATTTTTTAATGTGCAGAATTCTGTTGATTTTCTATTTTCTGTGACATAAATACGCAAGTCACATTTACTGCAAGAGCCAACATTTGAAAACAATCAATTTTTTAACAGAAAAAAAACAATAATTCCTTCGTCATCATGCTCAAGCGAAGATGAATACCGTCGTGAATCGGGTACACAACCCTTTAAGCTCAGTTCAATTCGATATAATTACGTCGACAATCCCTTTAAGCTTAGTTCAATTCGATATAATTACGCCACCAGTCCCTTTAAGCTCAGTTCAATTCGATATAATTACGTCACCTGTCCCTTTAAGCTTAGTTTAATTCGATATAATTACGCCACCTGTCCCTTTAAGCTTAGTTCAATTCGATATATTTACGTCACCTTTCTCTTTAAACTTAGTTCAATTCAATATAATTACGTCACCAGTCCCTTTCAACTTAGTTCAATTCGATATAATTACTTCACCAGTCTCTTTAAGCTTAATTCAATTAAATATAATTACGGCACCTGTCCCTTTAAGCTTAGTTTAATTCGATATAATTACGTCACCTGTCCCTTTAAGCTTAATTTAATTTGATATAATTACGTCACCAGTCCCTTTAAGCTTAATTTAATTCGATATAATTACGTCACCTGTCCCTTTAAGCTTAATTCAATTCAATATAATTACGTCACCAGTCTCTTTAAGTCTAATTTAATTCGATATAATTACGTCGCCTGTCCCTTTAAGCTTAATTCAATTTAATATAATTACGTCACCAGTCTCTTCAAGCTTAATTCAATATGTATAATTGCGTCACCTGTCCCTTTAAGCTTAGTTTAATTTGATATAATTACGTCACCAGTCCCTTTAAGCTTAATTTAATTTCATATAATTACGTCACCAGTCCCTTTAAACTTAGTTCAATTCGATATAATTACTTCACCAGTCCCTTTAAGCTTAGTTCAATTCAATACAATTACGTCACCAGTCTCTTTAAGATTAGTTCAATTCGATATAATTCAAATATTACACTTTAACCTTCCAACGGAACAGATGGACTAGAAATCCGCTTTTGTTATGACAAAAAGTTCACAGTTGTTAAATTTAAGAAAAATTATGATTGATTTTCTTTTTTTGTGAACGTTTTCTTGTATTTCTTTATCTGTGTGTGGTTTTTGTTTATGTCATGTAAATTTCTAGATATGTGGTTATATTTTGTAATATCCCGGGTTTCCACAAATATTCGGTTTAGTTATATTTTTTTTTAGTTTTGTTGTATTTTTAACTTTTTTTAACTTTTCCAGTCGATCCTATTGTTTTTGATGCAGGAATTAAACCTAGTCGAATATTGCTTTTATCTGAGAAACAATGCGGAAGATATTGTCAATATTTTTCTTGATAAAAGAAATCTTTCTTGTCTTTGCTATTTACTTTCATTAAATAACCGTATTTTATAAATTGAAAACTTTCAGAAAGAAGAACAAAGATATCCCCACTATTTTTATGAGATATAAGTGTATTCAAATAGATTGTTAAGTACAATAGATGGCAACGTAGAATTTGTACACTCTCAGTACAGTTGTATTCTGTCGTCACAAGTGTCAATTCAGTTTTTGTGTCCGACAAAATTATCAATAATAGTGATAATTTTAGAATAAAGTGCTTTTCTTACAGTAAAATAAGTGCAATTTTATGTTTTTTTAGTTTCTGTTTTTATTTAATCTTAGAAAACATGTCAACTAATGTGAGACAATTTCGTTTTCTTTGTTATATTTGACACTTGTGACGTTGTGTATAATTTGTTCATTTCTCTGTTGCCACCTATTGTACTTGATAATCTATTTGAATGTATTGTATCTAAGTGGAATCAATGAGAATTTTAAGAAGGAAATTGTGTTTATTGTCCAGTTAAATTCCAGATTGTCTATAATATCTTAAACTTAGTGGACACCCCCCGGTTTATACTTTTTAATTAGTATTAACATAATATTGTTCGTTCAATAATATTGTTAAAAGATTATATTTCTATAAATATTCTTATCGGAAACCAATATACGCTTTTTAGAAGGATTTCATTATGAAATATTAAGTTGGCTAATCCTGTAGCAAATGAAACCTGAGGTGGAATTTAAAGAATTTAAGCCGCGGTTTAAATCTGCCAAAACCCGGTTTAAATTAAGCGCCGGCTTAAATCTTGAAACATTTGATACAATTTTGAGTGGAACCAACAATATTTAAGCCGCGGCTTAAATTTAAACCACCGCTCAAATTCTTTAAATTCGGCCACTGATCGTTTTGAAATAAATCACGATTTTGTGCTTTTTTAATAGTTTTAAATGTTCCTTTAGGAAACATATACCCAGAGTCTCTCAGTAGAGTTCAACAATTAACTGGGAAAAAAGTCGTCTTTCATGAAGTAGATATCTGCAATAAGCATGCTCTAAGAACGGTAAGTTTTTATGAAGTAGATTTCTAGTTTTTATGAAGTAGATTTCTAGTTTTTATGAAGTAGATTTCTAGTTTTTATGAAGTAGATTTCTAGTTTTTATAGTAAATTTATTTTTATTTTTTCCTACTCAGCGAAAACAATCCTGAACATATCGGAGGATGTGCATAACTAATTTATTCGCCATTTATAAAATCTTAAAATTATAATTATAACTAATTTTAGGAATCATTGTCGTGCTCTTAAGAATAATATCATATGCATGCAATTAATAAGAACCATTAAAACAAAGCATGCAAGAAATCATTCATAACAAATTATTTTGCAGGTGTTCTCTTTTTACCACTCTGGAGAGCAGAAAATAGATTGTGTTATTCATTTTGCGGCCCTCAAGGTGCGTTTTAAAATATTTAGAAGGGTTGAAAAAAATAAGTGGAAATTTATTAACATTTGGACTTTTGGGACAAAAAACATAGCAGATAAAATTGAAAAAAGCGAAACTTGAAAAAGAAAGAAATAAGAAATGCTTGAAGCCAATATATTTGATAAAAGCTTGATGTAGTTTCCACCAACTTTGTAATATTCTAATAATAAGCTGCTCCCAAGGGACATGTGTTTGGCCCTATTTTCATAGATTTTTAACCCTTTATTTTAGGCTGTTGGAGAATCTTGTGCCCTTCCCCTTAAATATTATGGGAATAATGTTACTGGAAGCGCAAACTTGATGGAGGTATAAAACCAGTATGATAAAGAATAAAATCTATATAATATATGATAAAGTTCCTTGATCGCTCATATATGTCAGCTATAGCTGCCCAAAGGCTGGACCAAATTGGCTGAATTTTTTTGAGGGAACCCAGGGTAAATATAGGCTAAAAATTAAGAGTTTTTTAAAATCTTTTTTAAGTCGATTTTTTTACATTAGAATTTTTTGTTATTCCACAGGTAACGCCAGGACCTTAGCTAGCATAGTATAATATGTATATATGTCATTTATATTACACCACCATTTATTGTGACAATTGTTCTTCGTGTTCATTATTGTTAATTTTATAATTATTATCATTATTTTTATCTTTACTATTTATTATTATTATTGTTATAGTTATGATTATTATTATTATTATTATTATTATTTTTATTATTAGGTAATGATGGAGTTTGGTGTGAAAAGGTTGGTGTTTAGTTCTAGCGCTACAGTTTACGGTCAACCCCAATACCTACCAGTAGATGAAAACCACCCTACAGGTATACTTCAAGAAGTTTCATTTATCATAAAGGAGAACGTTAATTTTTTCTGTAAAGTACAAAATTGACCACCAAAATAGAGCTAAAAATGTAAAAAATAAGCATTGAAAATAATAGAATATACATTAAAAGTATAAAAATAGGTTATAAATTGAAGGTTCTCTGACATCTGAATGATATATTTAGGGAACTGTACTAACCCCTACGGGAAAACCAAGTTCTTTATGGAAGAGATTATGAAGGATGTAGTGGCTGCTAACCCAGACTGGGGCTGCCAACTTCTAAGGTAATTAAGTGTGTTAACTTGTTTCGTTAACGAATGAAAGTTTTTTAAATTAACGAATATTCTATTTAAGAATGGAAAACGTTTCTTTTAGTTCGTTAATTCTGATGAATTTAAATTATCTAAATATTCTAGTAAAATACGGGCAAATTTTTTTATTTAAGTTGGCTCAGTCCAGTGTATTTGAAGACCCAGCTCCAACTCTTGAGCCAAGCTGTACAGAATACATTAAGATTATTGACTCTTGAGCCAAGTTGTACAGAATCATAAAGATTATTGACTCTTGAGCAAAGTTGACAGAATACATGAAGATTATTGACTCTTGAGCCAAGTTGTACAGAATACATGAAGATTATTGACTCTTGAGCAAAGTTGTACAGAATACATGAAGATTATTGACTCTTGAGCAAAGTTGACAGAATACAAGAAAATTATTGTCTCTTGAGCAAAGTTGTATAGAATACATGAAGATTATTGACTCTTGAGCAAAGTTGACAGAATACATGAAGATTATTGACTCTTGAGCAAAGTTGTACAGAACACATGAAGATTATTGACTCTTGAGCAAAGTTGTACAGAATACATGAAAATTATTGACTCTTGAGCAAATTTGTATAGAAAACATGAAGATTATTGACTCTTGGGCAAAGTTGTACAGAATACATGAAGATTATTGACTCTTGAGCAAAGTTGTACAGAATCATGAAGATTGTTGACTCTTGAGCAAAGTTGTACTGAATACATGAAGATAATTGACTCTTGAGCAAAGTTGTACAGAATACAAGAAGATTATTGACTCTTGAGCAAAGTTGACAGAATACATGAAAATTATTGTCTCTTGAGCAAAGTTGTATTGAATACATGAAGATTATTGACTCTTGAGCAAAGTTGACAGAATACATGAAGATTATTGACTCTTAAGCAAAGTTGTACAAAATGCATGAAGATTATTGACTCTTGAGCATAGTTGTACATGAAGATTATTTACGGAAAGACAGGACAGTTTAGAATTTTAACACTGCACCAAAATTTGTATCTGTTCATATTAACTTTTGCCGGCCTTGTCTTTGCTCATTCAGCTGTTTTTAACCCTATTAATGACCACAAAGCTGATTCTGCGTAAACGGCCCACTAATCATGATCTGTTCAGGTACTTTAACCCTGTGGGTGCCCACCCATCTGGATGTATAGGGGAAGATCCCCAGGGTATTCCAAACAATCTTATGCCTTATATTGCACAGGTTAGATATATACTTCATTTTAGTTAAACTTTTAGGGCGCTTTGCGTTTTTTATTGTTTCTTTTACATGTGGATAATATCTTTTAATAAACAAAAAATGTGTGAACTGGCTATGTCTGTTTTAACTGTTGATTGATAAATTCCAAGATGTAAAAAAATCGTATTTTTAGTCAACAATAGTTTGATGTTTAATGAACACTAACAAACCAACTCACATTAAAATAGTATTTATTCATGGTTTAACCTTTTATTCTTTAATCATGTTCTCTTTCTTTTTAACTGAAGTTCCTTTATTCAAACATTTTTTCAACTAAATTTTTTTTTGTTAAATTTGAAATTTTCCAAATGGCAATTAGCTGAATTGGCTGAATTTAAGGAATGTAGTCTTGGTCACAAACTCTGGTTTTCTAATCTCTGTATCTTTTAAACCCAATGTTGTAGCAGAAAATATTTCAAATTATAAGTTCTATTGAATCATATTATCTTAAGTTTGAAATATCAAAGGTTTAAACCATCAGGTTGCAAAGATATTGGGATTAGATAACTAAAGACTCAACTCCTTTCATCTGATGAATTCAGGTTGCTGTCGGTAGGAGAGAAAAACTGATGGTTTATGGAAGTGATTATGATACCGAGGATGGAACAGGTACAAGACGTATTGAAAATAATTCTTTACTCTAATTTTATACATTTTATGCTCCTACAGACCTACAGTCCTATTCTAAATAGAACGGAATAATTCTTTACTCTCATCTTATACATTTTATGTTCCTACAGATCCTACAGTCCTATTCTAAATAGAACGGAATAATTCTTTACTCTCATCTTATACATTTTATGTTCCTACAGACCTACAGTCCTACAGTTCTATTCTAAATAGAACGGAATAATTCTTTACTCTCATCTTATACATTTTATGTTCCTACAGGCCTATTCTAAATAAAACGGAATAATTCTGATTGATTGAAACTTTAAACTGACCTTTGACATAGTTTGCGGCATTCTTTAAAGGCAACGTAATTCAAGTAATATTTTGTTATGTTAACAGCACACCGGACTAACCAGAGTGAGCAGCATTCGGTTTCTTCTATTTGAAATCAAACGTGTTTTAGTCTTTAATTCAATAATCATTTACTTTACGGATTTGTTTATTTTATACATTTTCATTCTAAATGCATAGGCTAACAAAAAAGTATTTACGAAAAAAGGCTAACAAATTATGTTTAAGGGGTCAAATTGTGATCGAAAGTCACAGCTTTCTGGAATATTGACAGAACCGTTAAATCCACGTGACAGCTATCACAAAATAGTCATAGTCCTAAAATTTCTAAAATGGGTTTGCCCTTTGTTTGCTTTCAAATTTAACAGAGAATTTTGTTTAAAATTCAAATTATTAAATTAGATTATGAAATTGTCTAATTCTGAACGAAATCATTTATATCTCCGGCATTTATGAAAGCAAAAAACTGGGACAGCACATTTTGGAAAAGAGGGATTAGGGATATTTTTCAATTATTGTGTCATAAAAAATTATTGTTAAATTAGATTGCCTATTAAAAATGCCGAAAACTATTTCTAAATTGAAAGATGACTTTGCAGTCTTCAATTAATTTAAATTATTTCAGTTTCTTTAGAAGGACTGTCTGAAATATATATACACTTCTTTTTTACATTTTACACTTCTTTTATGCAGTTTACACTTCTTTCATACATTTTACATTTCTTTTATACAGTTTATCACTTCCTTTATACATGTTACACTTCTTTTATACATTTTTCAATTCTTTTATACATTTTTCACTACATTTTTCACTTCTTTTATACATTTTTCACTTCTTTTATACATTTTTCACTTCTTTTATACATTTTTCACTTCTTTTATACACTTTTCACTTCTTTTATACATTTTTAACTTCTTTTATACATTTTTCACTTCTTTTTTACATTTTACACTTCTTTTATGCAGTTTACAGTTCTTTTATACATTTTACATTTATTTTATACACTTTATCACTTCCTTTATACAGTTTACACTTCTTTCATACATTTTTCAATTCTTTTATACATTTTTCACTTCTTTTATACATTTTTCACTTCTTTTTTACATTTTACACTTCTTTTATGCAATTTACAGTTCTTTTATACATTTTACATTTCTTTTATACAGTTTATCACTTCCTTTATACATGTTACACTTCTTTTATACATTTTTCAATTCTTTTATACATTTTTCACTATTTTTCACTTCTTTTATACATTTTTCACTTCTTTTATACATTTTTCACTTCTTTTATACATTTTTCACTTCTTTCATACATTTTTAACTTCTTTTATAAATTTTTCACTTCTTTTATACATTTTTCACTTCTTTTATACATTTTACACTTCTTTTATACATTTTACACTTCTTTTATACAGATTACACCTCTTTTATACAGTTTACACTTCGTTTTATACATTTCACACTTCTTTTATACATTTTACACTTCATTTATACATTTTACACTTCTTTTATACATTTTACACTTCTTTTATACATTTTACACTTCTTTTATACATTTTTCAGTGACAAAAATGAGTTTTAATCAATTTAGATAACAAGTATTTGAATCATTGATTGGTTGATTGGTAGGATGCCGCGACTATATACACGTGATGGACCTGGCTATGGGCCACGTGGCGGCCATCCGGCAGATACTGGATCCAACCTACTCCGGGCTCAAGATATACAACCTAGGCACAGGTCGAGGGCAGACAGTTCTCCAGGTACTACAGGATACTGGTTCCTCCGTTAAGGGGTAGGGGGGGGGGGGTTATTAAATGAAATATAAATCCAGTCGCTTTGATCTTTAGAATATAGCTCTCTCAGTCTCTCAGGGATAGATGAGGGGTTTGCTCCGCATGGTGTGTGCCAACTCAGAATTTTCTCTCCCATTTTCCGTAGCTCCCCCAATTGCATTATAGTGAGCCATTGCTCCAAGACTAACCCCTTCGTCCCTGAGCTCTCTCCAAATCTATGGGGGTCATTTTGAATGATGCTACCATGCCCTTTAATTATTTAAATTATGTACAGAGTCCCTTTATTAAATGTTTTTGTTAAATGAATTATTCTAGATGGTAAAAGCCTTCTCTGAGGTGAGTGGTCGAGAGATCCCGTACGAGCTAGTTGACCGGCGCCCTGGTGACGTAGCGAGCTGCTACGCCAGTTGTGAGTTGGCTGCAAAGGAGCTCGGTTGGAGATCAAAACTCTCCCTGGAGGATATGTGTAAGTAACATTTCAAAAAATTCAGTAGTTTATATCTGTGGTCCTGAAATAATCCGTCTATAACTAATCTAAGCACAATGGCTTTAATACATGTGTACAGGACTACTCACAAAGAATGAGACTTTAAAGAGGACCTGCAACACTTTTTAAATACCCCGATACGTGCAGTTAAATTTGATCAGAAGAATATTGAATTTTATTTTTATTATTAATGGTGGAAAAATAACTAAAATGTATACAAGACTTTATGGAGGACGTGAGGTCGGTCTCCAATGAAACGAGGAATCACTTTCCAGTATATATTTTAAGTCTAATAATACAAAAGTAACGAGAAATATATTCGGTTCGATCACATGGTACTGTAAGAGAGATCGCCGTCTCGTTCTCTCTTCATACTCCTTTGTTCCTGGATCTGCTGTAAGGAGGCCGGGTATCGTCTTCCACAACTTAATAGATTTAAGCGAAAAGATTAAAAAAAATCTTAACATTGTCTCTTTATTATCATTCTTTGTGAGTAATCCTGTATAAAAGTATTGAAGCCATTTTGTGCCCCCCCCCTCCCCCCCCCTTTAAATTCTTATCATCGATCACTGAATTGACAGAAGAGAATTTTAAATGAATTTAACTGTCACTGAATTGCAATTGCAAGTTCCCAAAAAATAAAAATGGTAACTACCTTCCTCATCAAAAAAAATCGTTCTGTCTAACTGTAAAGATATAATGGTGAAGGATTAATATTGGCATTTGAAAAATATACTGTTAAACCAGAAAAATGTCTCTCTTGCACTTAATATTCTTGTGTTTTAATATCGTCAACCGCGATTCTAAACTATAATTAATCATCTTGAAAATATTGAAAATACTGTTGCTGAAATATTCACTGTAATTTAACCCGCTCACTTTAAAAGTTTCTTGAATTCATTTCTGGTTTAAGTCACTGGAGTTGACAATTTTAAATATGCATAATAAACATTGAATTGCTCATAAGAAAATCCAAAAATTAAATTACGTTTTTAAGATTGGGGAATAATAAGTATGAAAAAATTGCAAAATTTGAAAAATTCCTTCTGCGTTACTGTTTTACATCCCAAAATAACGCAATTACGCTCGCATAAAAAAGCCTAAAAGGTCAATACCATAGGAAGAGGTCTGCAAACTGTACCAGTAATGTTGCATAAATTTTACCTTTGCTGGCTATAGTATTAAGTGTGGTGACTGGTGATCGAGTTGAAATACAACTTTTAATTATTGTCATGCTTTGTCTAGTGTTTTTGTTTATGTTCGTTCTTTGTTTAGGTCGAGATATGTGGACATGGCAATCTAAGAATCCACAAGGGTTTGCAAAAAATTGATCTACTATCGGTCAAATAGGTTTGCAAACTTGTGGACTTATCAGAACTATGATTGAAGAGCGCGCAGAAACGTAGCTAAAAAGCGTCATTTTAGTTTCCACTTGGATTTATAAATTAGTATAAATTTTTTTTAATTTACCCATTTTTGTTTCCTCTCTTTGTTAGCAAAATAAGTCAATATATATGAAATATATATGAAAGCAAAAAATATTATTGTAAATGAATTCGCTCAATGTGTAATGAATAATAGCTTTTTTTTGCAATATTAAAAAACTAATGGATTCAGTACAAAAAAAAAACACACTTTTTCTAAATTAAAAAGTTGCATTTAGTAATTCAAACATTTAATTAAGTGCCTTAAACATTCCTGTGAAATTAGTTAATGTTGACACATGAATACTGCGGGATGGAACTTCAGAAAAATTAAATATCAGAAAAAATCAGTTTTTCATTTATAAGGATCTAGCTGAGCTGGGAACTTTTGAATGGACAGATTAAGTTTAACTCATTCTGTCTATTCAAAATGATCCAGTTGTTTGTTTTCTTTATCTATCAAAAGTTTGTACAAAATGTTTTATTTTCCTATATTTGGTTGTGGACACTGTAAATAACATGATTTAAAAATGTTTTGTCTATGAAAATTCTGTTTTTTCATTTACTATGTATAACTTCACATTTATAATCTAACCAAAGAGTGTCTAGGTATCAAGATATCTATATAATTTGACAATTTATTATTTGTTGTAAATCAAATTTTATAAAAAGTTTAAAAATAAATTTTTAGTTTTGTTAAATTTTTGTGTTCAATTGTTTCATGATTGGTTTTCCAACCCAATCTAAACAGATGTTATGTTCTTTCATGTTTTTATTGTTATTTTTAAGTTGAAAATGATTTGAAGTTTATTTATTACTTCTAGGTTCCTCTGAGTATAAATGGCAGTTGTCTAATCCTACAGGATACAGATCATAAATACATATTAAAGTCGTTTTTAACAATTTTCTCCAAATAGACACAACAGATAGAAGTAAGATTAATAGCGATAAAAAGCACTTATTTTTCGTCGTAAGCCTACACCCCCTTTAATTTTTCGCAAACGCTCTCTTTAACTGTATGAAACAGTTGTAAGGTAGTTTTGTTGTAGAGCAAATATTGATCTTAAATAATTAATTGAAAAAAATATCATAATATTCCATTTACAAATAACGATCAGTTACTGTGAAAATGACACATGATTTTTTGTACAGTGCAATTGCCGCAAAGGAATTGAGTTTTCACAAAGACAAATTTTCGAATCCTAATATTTTTGCAACTAGATGGTTTAAACCTTTAATATTTCAAACTTAGATTATTTGATCAGAATTATAGTTGGAAATATCTATGGTCTACAACATTGGGTTGCAAAGATTCAGGGTTTAGAAAATCAGAGTTTGTGACAAAGACTCAACTCCATTACTTCATGTTTTCTTGATGTCAAAATATAGACACTCATCTCAACCTATCAGGGCCGAAGAAAACTTGAAGTCTTAACGATAAAATTTTTTAAAAAAATCATACTTTTTATTTATCCTTCCTGTTATGCAACGACTTAAAATGATTTGTGCAGTAAAGTTTTGACTTTTAATAGTGAACCAAAATTTATTGTTTCATCATTATTTTTTAATTGTAAGGGGCCGAATTTAATTAATTGAAGAGGTTGCTGAACTACATTAAAGATGAACCTAAGGACGAAATATAATGGATTGGAGAGGTCGTTGAACTACCTAACACTGGTTCAAATACTGAATTATCGATTCAAATTTTCATAAAACTTGGAATCGGTGATTAAATATTTGAACCTGTGTTAGGTAGTTCAACGACCTCTCCAATCCATTATATTTTGTCCTTAGGTTCATCTTTAATCAAAATATTCTACAGCTTTCACAGAAACATCGGATAGAAATAAACATTTCTTGTGATCTTAATTTATATTTATTTTGGTTTGGCCTAGCTAAACTTTCTGGCATTTTTGTGATATTTACCAATGATACAAGGGCAACATATTTCTTTTTCTGAATGTTTTAAAAATAAATTTAACGGTTCGCAATACATTTATTTATTTATTACTGATTAGAATATATATTATAAAAATTATATTTTTTTAGATGTATAATACTTAACATATGAGTTATGTTAACTGTTTAGCATTCTTTAAACATAATTAAGAATAATCACTTTAGACGACAAGGTCAGGTAAACCCTAAATAAGCCTTACATCGAAAGAATTCATAAAAATGTCGTATTCTTCACTTTCTGAAAATGGAATGTTGCAGATATTTAGTTTTTTAATTAAATGATTTTATGCAGCTTTTTAGAACTGTTCCCGCATATTCATGGCTATTTATTTATTTTCGCAAATACTGAGATTTACGTAAAATAGTATAAAACCCATTAAAAAATTTTCAAGACGACATTTGATAAATTTTTTCGATGTATGGCTCATTTAGGGTTTAACCGTAGTAATTGTAAAAAATAGTATTATTTTATGGAACTTAAAATAGTTCACAGAAACAGTTCTACAAAGATTTAATGTACAGGGTGTCCCACGAAACATGGCAGTATGCAAGACGACTTGAATGTCGTCTTGATTTTTGATATAATTTGCTGCATTTATTTGTCAACCTAATTTTAGAAGTAAATTTCTAGAGATAATAATCACAAAATACCCCAAGTGAACAATTTCGTTCAGATTTCGACAATTTTGCTTTTATTTAACAAAATTGAAATCTGAACCAAACTCTTTATATCTCCGGTAATATTGAAAGCACAAAAAACGCAGACCACTTTTTGGAAATGCAAGGGCTAGGAGAATTATGTGATAATTGTTTCAAGAATCATACATGTTAAAGTAGATAAAAGACGAACTGTCACAAATAAATTCAAATATCAAAGACGACTTTCAAGTCGTCTTGCTATTGTCATGTTTCGTGGGACACCCTGTATGTAAAACAATCTGTAGTCCGATTTCACCATGGTATTCACCGGCTTCTATCTAAAATTGCACTGTATCTATAGGTTTAGAGACTTCGAAACCAAACTTTTGAGCATAATGCATCTCCCATAGTATTTTAAAGATTTGAATCAAAACTCCCAATAATTTAGATATGGATAAACATTAAGCACTAAACAGCACTGAAACATTTTTAGAGTTTTTGCAACAAACTTAAATTTTCTAATTTGCAACCTGGAGTAAAAGACTTTTGCTCTAATATATTTCTAAAATAATTCCTAGTTTGATACGTCAGAGGTCAAAGATATTAGATTGCAAAGATAGAAACAAGAAAATTAGAGTTTGTGGCTAGAATGAACCTAATTTTCTTATATAAAAAGAAAGCTTAAAAGTTTTGTTATGATATACACAACCTATATATCGTAATTTTCTCGTTGTTTTCTAAATATGTCTCTTTAAAAATCTTGAATATTTGTGTGCTGTTGAGTTCTCCTTTTTAATGCTTGATAGTGTATCCATCGTCTTCAACCAGAAGTCGTTGATCATCAGGGTTCGGTCCCTGGACAATCAATCAATCAATCAATCAATCAATCATTCAATCAATCATTCAATCCATCAATTATAAATCAATTATTAATAACATATATAATGATCTAAGATCAACATCTTGTTATCTTGAAAGAAGATCCTAATTTAGCCACAGAGCTCGCCTTTTAATATATGTGTCTACCCATAATGCTTGCCCAAAAAACAGCATAAAATAAGTAAAGCCTGTTTAAAACTGTGCACAAATTTTACTCTAAATTGACTATCTGTGAACAATTCAGGTGGAAAACTGCTTAATCCACAATATTTCCCTATTTTTGGATATCCCTCGGATTCCAACCAACTACAGTTCTCTTGTGCGCCAATTTGTATGGTTAAATTTTAGAAACTTTCCTGAACAAACTAAAAGTTTTAAGATTAACAAAAAGAGGTGATCAAGCTGATCAAGCAATTCTAAAGTTTGCAACTCTGGCAAATGCAGAATATACGCTGCAGGATATTTCTAAACGCAAGGGCAAGATGGCAGATCATGGAGTAAAACTGTTGATCTAATACCTGGATCCTGATATTATTCTCCTTGCATTGAGTTGAATACAGACAACATGACCTTTGTGTGCTTCCCACTTCCTTGTGTTCAGAACCTTTACTTCTACACTTCTAAAATATAAAGATATACCAGTTTATACTTCTACACTTCTAAAATATAAAGATATACTAGCTTATACTTCTACACTTCTAAAATATAAAGATATACTAGCTTATACTTCTACACTTCTAAAATATAAAGATATACTAGCTTATACTTCTATACTTCTAAAATATAAAGATATAGATACTAGCTTATACTTCTCTACTTCTAAAATATAAAGATATACTAGCTTATACTTCTACACTTCTAAAATATAAAGAAACTAGGCTTTTACAGGGCCCTTTCCTGTTTTAGCTTTTAACTGTTGCTCTGATGGCCATTTCAAAACATTTTCCAATTTTGGAGGATTTTTCACTTCGAATTTGCGCATTTTCAAAAAAAGTCAAATTTCTACTTTTTTCCAGGAATTTTTTTCTCCAATTTTGATGTTCAATAAACCTTCCCTGGCTTAATCATTACCCGGTCAGTGAAAAAAAAAACACTTCAAGTCTTTATGATATCAGGGCAACATGGTTAAAAAATTATTGGATTTGGTCAATCCTGCTCTGAATGACGGCTCTTTATCTTTAAGGGATGGAATTTTTTTTATTCACATTTTTGAATTAATTCGCACGGAATGGCATGCTCATTTCTTAAAGTGATATGGGCATTTTGCACTGTGCAGGTTTGGACAAACTATTAAATAAAATTTGATAATATACAGGGTTACTCACAAAGGATAAGACTTCAGAGACGATTGTACGAAATCATTTTAGTCCATTTTCTGTAAGAAAACGGACTGTTTTCTGTCCTCACATCTCTGCTTCCTGTCCTCTCATTTCTGTTTACTGTGCTCTAATCTCTGTTTTCTGTCCTCTAATATCTGTTTTCTGTCCTCTCATCTCTGTTTCCTGTGCTCATCTCTGTTTCCTGTCCTCTCATCTCTGTTTCCTGTTCTCATCTCTGTTTTCTGTTCTTTCATCTTTGTTTTCTGTCCTCTCGTCTCTGTTTCTGTCCTTTTGACTATGATTTCTGTCCTCCCGATCATATCATGTGTCCTGTGTTCCCATCTCTGTTTTATTTGCTCAATTATCTCTGTTTTGTGTCCTCTCCTAATGTTCTACGTACTCAATTATCTCTGTTTCCTGTCCTCTCGTAACTGTTTTATTTCCTAAATTATCTCTGTTTTTTGTCCTCTCATCTCTCGATATATGTAATAATAATACTTGCAGACTCTAACATTTTTAAAGCATTTTTAGGCGTGTTAGCGTTTTATTTTTCAGCTCTATATCGTAAGTCCATAAAACTATCTATCAATATAACTATCTATCTATCCACAGAACAGCTGATAAAACAGGCAGTGGGCGCTCCTGCTGCTTAGCAGCGTAGGCAGTTGAGTTCCCTTCCAGTACACAGGGGACCTGAGCGGTGTGTTTACAAAGAGTAATGACTAATAGTTTCTGAAACCCTTTTTTCATGAATTAGACATGCATGATTTTAGTTTGAAGTTTAGCTATTTTCTTTTCTTAAAAGTCATATAGATTAAAAAGCCAGGAATAATGAGTTTAATGACAATTTGTAGGAAAATGAACGGAATATTAATTCCTCAATTCGACTCACTGAATTAATAAAATGAATTAAGGTTCAATTTTTAGAATCTTAAAATAATGAAAATCACATTAATTATTTATTTTTTTGTCAAAACTTCAGTTTTATATTGAAAAAAAAAACACGTAATATATCATACAAATTTTGAGAAGCCCTCTGACACATATCTTGAAGTATGCACAATTTTATTCAATATTTCCATTATTGGAAAAGTAGATAAAATGGCAGCCTCATCACTGAAAACTGAACAAGATAAGATCGTAAGAAAATTAAGCCAAAGTTCAATAAGTGATAAAAAAGAGAATGTAAATACTGGACAGAAAAAAGGACAAACTGATTTTATAGCTAGGAACAAAGCTGCATTTGTTAAACCCTCTTATAGCATAACACACCGAAAAATAAATAGTGCAACAAATAAAGAAAACGTTTTATCGACCAGAAAAAGTGAAGGAACAGCATCAAGGCCCCAACTAAACCCTAATCCATCGAACGTCTCATCAACCATTAAATTAAATGCCAATACGTCTGGTAAACTTGCCAAAAAGAGGGTTCCAGATAAAAGTGATAAAGTTGACATTCTGACCGGCTTAGCTGATCACAACTTGATTCAGGTAATTTGATAATTCCTAAATGTTTGATTTTCAAGAAACCTTGGTCTTATCAGATGCGCTGCGGCTAGGACAGGCTTAGGGCGCAAGCACCGCGCTAAGGACTGACTAGGGGGCTTAGCCACGTTTCCAACTTTGACTATGTTTTAAATGAGCTAAATGTAAAAATGTATAGGGGCGCTAGGTCTTGATATCCAATGTGAGCACTTATAAATTAATGCTTGATCCCTTAACTAATGTTATCCCTACAGGGTACAACTACCACGGGATATCCCTGCAGGGTATAACTACCACGGGATATCCCTGCAGGGTATGACTACCACGGGATATCCTGCAGGGTATAACTACCAAGGGATATTCCTGCAGGGCATAACTTCCACGGGATATCCCTGCAGGGTATAACTACCACGGGATATCATGCAGGGTATAACTACCACGGCATATCCTGCAGGGTATAACTACCACGGGATATCCCTGCAGGGTATAACTACCAGGGGATATCCTGCAGGGTATAACAACCACGGGATATCCCTGCAGGGTATGACTACCACGGGATATCAAAGATGAATTAAATTATTCTGTAGATCTGCAAAATTTGGAGACTTACGTTAATTAAGAAATATTTTTTTGCCCAATAATAATGTTTTCCCATCAAAATTTTGCCTGATTTTTAGTACCTTGCATTATTTTCTTAGTTAATCATGGGCAGCCGTAGTACATTTGAATTTCCGAGCCGGGTCAACCTTTCTTCCGGTCCCAGTTTGTACTGTACCTAGCTCTATGGACACGACTAGCCGGTTCAACAAGGTTGACGCGGTCAGACTTTATGCTTCATATAGGTTTAATTTACTTTTACTGAAGGGGCAGATGTGCGTGTAATATGTAGAATACGCGTCTTATTTAGTTTTTCTATTCTCGCATATCTTTGACATTTTGTTGATCGATTTTTCTGTAAATTAACCCAATATATCTCAAAGGAAACTATTAATATTTAAATATTTAAAAAAAGTTTTAACAATTTATTTGAGCAAAAAAATATTTGATTTAAACGATCTCTAGGTTTTGGAGTCTAAAACTCACAGAGGGGCCATTTTATTAAGTTTTTAAAATCATCCACATGACATTCATAAAACCTTAAAAATTTTATTTTCAAATTCAAATTAAATGCGCAAACATTTGCAATATAACAACATCCATAATAAATTACTCAAATGTGGTCTTTCTATTTCGTAATTCTATTCTTAAAATCTTATTGTATTACGTATAATTGCCAGCTTAATAACAGAAACTAATTTAGATAATTGAGGTGATTCTTCTGTATCTATCTCCTGTAGATTTATGGAACTGTAGGCTAGTGTCAACATGCTGGAGGGATTATACTAGGTTGTTTGTTTAACACACATTTTTAACCTTCTGAAGAACGCAATGTTTTCTAGTGAATGAAAAGAGTTTTAAATGCAGACAAATCCTTCTTTACATTCTACCAAGTACCAAACTTCGTAATATATCTCATCTTATTTTCTATTAACAATTTTACCTTTAAACAGTTTCTCTTCAAGTTAAATTTTTTCCTTTAATTGTTATTCACTAAAAAAGTTTTAAGCAGGCTTCTCTTTTCAAATTGGCGGATTGTCAAAATTAAAAAATTTTGGCATTTTTTTCTGGTCAAAATTTTTAAATTTTTACCGTCCGCCAACCTTGCCGATCAGGGTCATTTGAGTTTTCACACACAAAATATTTGACCCGATCGATTCAGTTGTTTTGGGGTTCATTGGATACAAACAATAATATCAAATAATATATATGAAAGAATGACATGTTCCATGATACGTCACATATTTCAATATAACTCTTTGAAGATATATAAAATCTATTAAACCATTTTCTGTTTCAGAAATTTATTCCTGGCTCCAGGTTCAAGGGAAAAATTGAAAAAAATTCTCAAAACGAGATGGTTCAATGGAAAACATTCCAGGTATTTCAAATTTTTTATTAAAAATAACTAAACTTTAAGAAAAATAAGTAGACTTTTGTTTATTGGCTTCACATGTCAATATGATTAAACATTTCATTCTTTACGCTTGGCATGAGAAAAGATTAAATCAGCTTTTTTACCATTCATTTCTCTAAAATTCAAATACATTTACAAATTCTATAATTCTTCAATAAAATTCAGGAAAAAGGTAAAAGTATTTAATACTAAAAAAGCCTTTCTTTTATTTGTCTTACTTAGCCTGTATAATGGTGAATTGCCAAGATTTTACAAAAAAAATTTTAATCTAACAAAATAGAATAATGAAATTTTTTCTAAGAATTGAGTTGAAACTGAGTGGAAGCCAGTGCTATTCCAATTGTCAATTAAATGGAAGGTAGGAAGGACAACATTAAATCATTGACTTTCTTAATTTGGCTTTTTAAAGTTACTAGAAACTCAGGGCGCAGGGCGCTTCGCGCCCATCTTTTATTTCAACTTTTAATTGTGGCTTTATCTCTGAACATCTTCTCTTTGTACAGTATAAAACAAAAACCAAAAAGTTTGCAGATTTTATAATATTTTTTCACGCATTTTCAAAATTTTTTAAAAATAAAAAACTTTTAAACACAAATTTTTAAAATTTTGATCATTCATAAGCCTTCCCTAGGGTCACGTGAGGTCCCACAAAAAATTTGGGCCCGATCGGTTCAGCCGTTTTGACGTTTATTTGATACAAACAAACAGACAAACAAACAGACAAGCTAAATTTATATATAGATATTGTAATAAAGATTATTTCAGGGATTGCAGTTGTAAGCCTGTGTGCCAGTATAACAATGGATCATTAGTCTTTCTTTGGGGAGCTAATAGAGTAAAAGGTATCATATTGTTGAAACGTTTATATAAAATGCTTTAAGGGTTCATTGATCTACCATTAGTTTCACCTTTTACATATTGCCTCGCTATCTAGTTAGAACTTCAAACTTAGTGCTTCGTATGTTTTAAAACAAAGCATTTCGCAGATATTTCTGTTATTTTTTGTGGAATTTTAAAGCTTAGAAAATCAAAATCGAAAGGAAAGCTTTTTAATTTTTTCAATGTTGACACTTTTTGAAACCTGAATTAAAGAAATAATAAATGTTCTTCTAATGTATCAAGAAAAAAGATAAAAAAAATGTACAGCTAATTTTTCGTTGAGTTTTTTAAATGAATACCACTTTAGAAAAGTTGGAAGAGTGAAATAGAAATTTTTAAAAATAGAATACTTGGAGTCCAAATAAAGTTAAATGGAATAACATTAATCTTTGCATCATTTTTATTTTATTTGTTAGAATCAGAATTTTTTCTTCTACTGAACAATTTATTTCCTTGAATAAATCATTTCTCTGATTGAAAAATCCATTCCCTAATTCTGCTCTTGGCTTGGCCGAATCAGAAAAAGATATTAAAACTATTAAAACTGTTTATATTTAAATAACAATGTAGGTTTTGAACTAAAATATAAATATTAGTTCCTATCCCTGATATCCTTGCACAAATTATTCTCTAAATAAAAACATTTTAATTTCAGGATATAGAAAGTTAAATGAGCAGACTCCTGAAAATATTGATCATGTGTTTGATAGAGATCAATACCAAATTAAATTCAGGTATATTGATTATAAAGGAATTGAGTCTTTGCCACAAACTCTGATTTTCTAATCCCTATATTTTTGGAACCAAATGTTGCAGACCTTTGATATTTCAAACAATGAATTCTGTTAAATCAAATAATCTGAGTTTGAAATATCAAAAGTTTACAACATCGAGTTCTAAAGATATTGAGGTTTAGATATTTGATTTTGTTCCAAAGACTCAATTCCTTTAGAGATGATTTATCTTGATAAAGTTTTTAACTTGTTATGCATCGTAATTACAAAATATGATCTTGATTGTAATGTTATAAAAATTTTGAGAGATTTCAGATATATAAAAAACATCAAATGGAAATGATGAATTTTTTTTTTTGCTTGCTTAAAAACTTATTCTCCGTTATAATATATTTGATATATATAAAAATTTAACATTGTAAAAATATAACATTGCATCCTTCTTTCCTGTAATTTATAAAGTCTGTTAACCTGAAACCATTGTAAGAAAGTACAATATTAAAATTGTTTTAATTATTTGGCGGATTAAAATTTGTGTAAGGTATATTTATTAGGCTTTTCATAAACCTTACTTTTCTTAAATGTCTTACTAAATTCTGGCTTGATCGTCTCAACAGTTTGAAATTGATTTTAATACAAACAAACTGCAGATCTTGAATATAAAATTGTGGAACTTTTACACTTTCGTTTTCATGCAATTTATTCCTGTGATGTTCGGGGTCTGCTAGTTCTTAATCGAACCAAGGGGTTTGTCTTCCTATCCCTAAAATTCAGATTAATCAAATAAAATAAAAATTTTAAAAATTAAATATTTAAGTTTTTTAAATCCTGGGATTTGACCTGACATGAAAAAGACTGGCAATTGCCTCTTTCCGTCGTTTTTCTTCCGCCTCCGTGAGTTCAGGTACTTCTTCAATGCCCTCCGCCCCTACAGGAAATAAGCCAAATTTTGTAAAAAAAATGAAAAGTTTAGTTNGGGTTTAACCTTGAAACATGTATGGACCATGTGATTCCACATTCAAGGGGGGTTTAACCTTGAAACATGTATGGACCATGTGATTCCACATTCAAGGAGGGTTTAACCTTGAAACAAAGGGTTTCCTCTTCTGTTTTTATCAAATATAGTAAATAGATAGGGTATCTTGCGAAATTAAAAAATTGCAAATTGCGAAAAATGGTTGCATACATGAGTTCCAGAACGAATTTATCATCTATATTCATGCTTTACGCGGTCATCATATAGACAATCACACTAAAAAAAGTAGACATGCGACTGAAAGGAATTGAGTCTTTGGAACAAAATCAAATATTTAAATCTCAATATCTTTAGAACTCGATGTTGTAAACCTTTGATATTTCAAACTCAGATTATCTGATCTAACAGAATTCATAGTTTGAAATATCTAAGGTCTGCAACATTTGGTTCCAAAGATATAGTGATTAGAAAATCAGAGTTTGTGGCAAAGACTCAATTCCTTTCCCTATGATTAGACAATAGAAAACAATCGTATGCACGCCAAACAACGTAAATTTTGATATGCAATAAATTGCACAATTCTTTCACTTGCTTACACTCAACCCATTTTCGTACAAAATTGTGCAATCTGAGCAAATCTCAATCAAATTAATATTTAGAAGAGGGGTTTAGCGTTCATTGAAACCCCTTCTCTCTTGTTCTAATGACACCCAGCAAATCTTCTATATTCAGTTTAGCAGAGGGTTTGAATCTTGAAACCAACCTATATCTCTCCTCCCTGTATTCATGAAACCTAGTAAACCTTTCATATTCAGTTTAGCAAAGGGTTTGAACCTTGAAACCAACCTATATCTCTCCTCCCCTGTATTCATGAAACCTAGTAAATCTTATATATTCAGTTTAGCAGAGAGTTTGAACCTTGAAACCAACCTATATCTCTCCCCCCTGTATTCATGAAACCTAGTAAATCTTATATATTCAGTTTAGCAGAGGGTTTAAACCTTGAAACCAACCTATATCTCTCCCCCCTGTATTAATGAAACCCAGTAAATCTTATATATTCAGTTTAGCTGAGGGTTTAAACCTTGAAACCAACCTATATCTCTCCCCCCCCCGTATTCATGAAACCCAGTAAATCTTATATATTCAGTTTAGCAGAGGGTTTGAACCTTGAAACCAACATATATCTCTCCTCCCCTGTATTCATGAAACCTAGTAAATCTTCTATATTCAGTCTAGCAGAGGGTTTAAACCTTGAAACCAACCTATATCTCTCCTCCCCATGATTCATGAAACCTAGTAAATCTTATATATTCAGTTTAGCAGAGGGTTTGAACCTTGAAACCAACCTATATCTCTCCTCCCCATGATTCATGAAACCTAGTAAATCTTATATATTCAGTTTAGCAGAGGGTTTGAACCTTGAAACCAACCTATATCTCTCCTCCCCTGTATTCATGAAACCTAGTAAATGTTTCATATTTAGTTTAGCAGAGGGTTTGAACCTTGAAACCAACCTATATCTCTCCTCCCCAGTATTCATGAAACCCAGTAAACCTGTAAAGACCTGCAGATTCAGGTAATCTCTTTTCTAGGGAAGGAAATTCAGAGTTAGAAAGTTATGAATGCATTTGGATTTAACAACCGTAATCTCTTGTTAATAATTTTCAACCTCAAAATACCTCTGAAGCTAATTGTAGATGCTGGCAAAGATGCAAAGTCCAACCATTACTTCGCTCGAAGTGCGACAAAGAATATAAATGTAGTAAATTTTATAATACAGTTTTACTGTTTAGTAAGCAATACAACAATTTGATATCTTCATCATGTAGCAATTATTATTATTTCTATGTACAAGTTAAATTATCTTTTTTATAACAAATGCTTTGATCTTTTCTTTTAGATCACATAGAATCCATTTATCTGAGAACTCTATGGAGCTATGTATAACATCAGAGTCTGGAGAAACTAGACATGTGACCCCATCAACAGGGATTGGAAGAGCTAGGCGTATTGACCAGCTTGCAGCTTCCTGTGGTCGGTTAGCTTTACTCATGGAGAGCAGGGTTTATGTCTATTCATTAGGAAAAGATGATAATATAATATCTTAACAAAATGGTGTATTTAAGATTTTGAAGACATACTTAGAAAACCCACATTTAGATCACATAAATTATCCGTATTTATTCCATATAAAGAGAGTCCAGGTGGGAATATTATAATGTAGGATTAATCATGTTCAGACTTTTTTCAAGCCATTCATTAACAGTTATAGTTTCATTAACAGGTAGCCATTCGTTCTTAGATAACTTAGATAATTATTGTTATGAATTATAAAAATACTGAAAATATTTCATCTTGATGAATCAGAGCAATTGGTTGATTTAAACGCCGAACCAGCTGATGCCCTACTGCTGATTGCAACAAGAATGAACCAATCAGAAGTGATCTTCTACAAGCTGTTCCCTGATTGGTTAATCACAGTTGGCAGAGACTACACAATAACTATGTTCTCCTATTGGAAACAATCTTCGTGCAGTAAATCGGAATTCTTTAACTAAAGTTTACTCTCTTTTCAAAGTTTTTTAATCTTAACAAACTTTAAACAAGAGATTTGCAGTTTACTAAAAGTTTTCAACTTTCTTGTTACAATAACAATTCATAATTAAACTAAGGGCCTTGAAAGTACAAAGTTTTTTGTGTTAATCCTCTGTGTATTTTTTTTGAAAGGTTAGTTCATGAACACACGGCTAAGAGTAGTTTTTTCAAGAAAAAAAAAATGAAACACGTATTTTATTGTGATAAAAAATATCTAATGAATAAATGTATTACACATATATCTAATGAACTGTGATATAAAAATTGAATGCCAATTTAACTTTTTGCATCTTGTGTCACATTATGATGAGAGAAAATGAAGAGAAAATTCTATTTTTTAATGTTAATAAGAAGCCTTTTGCGACAGTAAAAAATCATATACTAGGACGGACCCACAATTTTTATAAAAAAAAACATTGAACGGTACCATTTTGAATCGGACATGTATTTCTTTAATTATAGGATCACTTTAAACTTACGGGCAATATTTTTAAGATAAAAAAGTTATGTAATAATGTGTTAGGTACTTTCCCAAAGGCCTTTTCCCAAGAGCAACTTCCTAAGTGACAATCTTACAAGTGGCAACTTCCCAAATGTAAATTTAAGGTTAGGTTAAGCCTTCTGAGGCGCTGCCTCTAGGATGGGTTAAAGTGCCGAGTGCTGCAGTTAGAACTAACTGAGGTTAGAGGGCCAAGTGCTGCGGCTAGAAGATACCTGTGACGTTGCCGCTTGGGAAATTGCACATTTAGGAGGTTGCCACTTGGGAAAACACCCTTTGTGAAGTTGCCGCTTGGTAAAAGGCCTTTGGGAGAGTATGTAACAACATGAATCTAGAATATAATTGCACCTGTTTGAGGTTGAGGGAGAGATAGCAAGATCCCACATCAGAATATTTCCTCCAAAATCACCGGAAACTATTCTAAAATTAATAAATTTTTAACCACAGAGTAGAGAATAAATAAGAGTTATCCTGCTTTTTTGAGCCTTAAAAGGAGTTCAAAGTTTCCAGATGAAAAAGAAAAAATAGTAAGACGTTTTATTAGAAATAAGGCGTGAGGCGGCTTTATATATTATTTATCTTAATTTACAAAATTTTATAAAAGATGGTCCACAATCATGATTATGATATTAAAAAAGCCGAGGAAAGGGGGGCGAAGGCAAGTTCACCTGCCCCCACAGTTTCGCCATTGGCCAGGATAATATCTAAACTAGTTTTGAAACTTGACACTAGCTTACCTGTTCCCCGAGAATCCAATACATCTGGCAAAATTGTCCTGATCACTTAGTTTTAGCAAACAAACTCCTACAGATACATCCCATAATCTAACCTTAAAAAAAGGAAATATTATCTATAAAACGTGATGAGGGAGGGAAGGCAACCTCTCCCGCCCAGCTTCCGAACCTCATTTTACCTATTTGCGGCAGTGCGCGTCGTAAATTTCTACTTAAAACGGGACTAATTCAATTTTTTAAGCACGGTAGTACATCTATAGTATCCTGAAGATTTTCATAAATAAAATTTTCTGATTGATAATGGATGTCCAGTGCACCATTTGTACACTGGATGCACTACCCCATGCATCCGCTTAAACTTTTTAAAAACATTTTGTAATCATTGTAAAAAATATCATGATATAAATAAAAAGCTGAAGAAAAAAAATTGAAACAAAAGGTGATAAGGTATTAGTACTTTCCCTAGTACAACTTCATTCAAATAAAATGGATTTACAAAGAGTTTTTTTATTAAAGATCCTAGATATGACATTGTCGATTAATCAGGACATTAGAGGTGTCTAATATGAGACCATAGGAATAATAATACCCTTTTTAAAATGCATAGGATGCATAGATGCATAATTTATATACATTTTATGTATCGTTAATGTCATATATTCATATATACCATGAAGCATAGGATGCATAGATGCATAGACTTATATAAGAAATATATACAAGTTTATATATGGCTGCATAGGATGCATAGATGCATAGACTTGTATAAGAAATATGTACAAGTTTATATACGGCTGCATAGGATGCATAGGATGCATAGATGCATAGACTTGTATTGGAAAATATATACAAGTTTATATACGGCTGCATAGGATGCATAGGATGCATAGATGCATAGACTT